TAGTAATTGTTATGGGTTGAGTTGTACCCCCTCGATATGTGTGTTGGAATCTTAATTCCTGTATGGATGTAATCTCATTTTGGAATAGAGTTTTCTTTGTTATGTTAATGAAGCCATATCAATGTGTGGTATATCTTAAACCTAGTCACTCTCGAGATATAAACACATAGATTAGACAGAGTAACAAGCAAGTACAAATTGAGGAAAGATAGGTGTCACCTGGAGATCTCTAAGGAATCAAGGAATGTCGAGGAGAATTGGAGACAGAATTTTCCCCTACAACAGAGAGAGCCTTCCCCTAGAGCCAATGCCCTGAATTCAGACTCCTAAACTGTGAAAAAATAAATTTATCTTCAGAAAAACCACCACTAATAGTATTTTTGTTACAGTACTAGATAACTAAGACAGTAACCTTAACCTCACCATATGTACTTTCGATTTCTGCATGATGCACAACACAAAGCCAGGCAGAGTCAGGACTCTTTGGGAATCTGATACTTGGGGAGGGGGGTCAAGGCTATTTGTTAGATTATTTGATCATTTATCATCAGCCTTGCCTTTGGATTACATCAATCCTTGATGTATTTTTTAAAACCATGGAAAGTTTTTAAATTATTTCTATAAAAGAAAAAAATCCTCTATTTTAGAAATCCATTAAAAGGCATACACTTATTGGAAAGGTAGTCATTTGCTTTTTCATGACAGTGACCTTCATCATTGGTATTCATTTCATGATGAGAGCTCCATAGACAAATGAAGGTCAAGACTACGTTAGACTCCTCTCATGAGGAAAACTATTATTTTTTAAAATGTTATCAATGCACACATATGTAGACATATAAATATTTATACAGAAACTTACTGCCTAGACAGTGAATAGAAATAGCAATAGAAATTATGTGCTCTGGGGATCCTCCCTGGGTGACTGTACTTTCAAATCAGGAGAGCACTGTTTTCTTTCCCATTTCCATCCCTGTGCTTCAGGGATGGAGGAATGTCAACATTTCATATAACACAGACTCTGCATCTCCCTCAGTTTACAGAATAGAAGAGAGACTTTGGAGGGTCAAGTCATCTGTCAAAAAGCACATTGCTGGAATAAGTCTAAAACACAGACCTCCTGACACTCAAGACAGTCTTCTTTCAATAATGTTGGAAGTATTGATCAAAGCGATCATTCTATGGTATAAGAAAAGGTAAAAAGCTATCATGGTAGCTAGTAGGAATATCAGTTACTGCGGTGTCGATTCGGACCCAGGGGACTGCATGTGTGTCAGAGTAGAACAGGGCTCTATAGGGTTTTCAATGGCTCATTTTTCAGAAGTAGATCGCCAGGCCTTTGTTTGAACAGCCACTGTTAGCAGCCCTGTGCATTGACTGTTTCCACTATCTAGGCACTCCACTAGTAGAAATAGAATGCATTAGACAGTGAATTTGGGAGAAACTATGAAGGTCAGCCATGGGAGCTCTGGTGGTGCAGGGCCTAAGGCATTTGACTGCTAACCAAAAGGCTAGTGGTTCAAACCCACCAGCCACTCCTTGTAAGGAGGGAACACTATGAGTTGAATAGACTTGACAGCAGTGAGTTGTTTTTTGTTTTTTGGTTGTTTTTTTTTTTTAATGAAGGTCAGCCAGGCCTTGGACAGAAAGAAAGACTACAGGCGGAACTGTGAAATTATTTGCTTTCCCCTCTGGTAGCGTAGTGCCTAAGGCACTTGACTGCTAACCAGAAGGCTGAGGGTTCAAACCCATCAGCCACTCCTCAGAAGGAAGAATGGACAATCTACTTCCATAATGATACCTCGGAAACTCAAGGAGGGGTTGCTATGAGTCGGGTCGACTCGATGGCACACAACAACAACAATAACAACCACAAATGTAGGGCAAAGAAAAGCATGATAGGAATCCAATCAGAAGTAAAAAGTCTTTGGTTAAATCTGTGCCATGCATTTGCCTCTAAAAGCTGCCCTAGCAAATGGATGCCAATTGCTAAAGGGAAAAAAGTTATAAAAAAAAAAAAAAAAAAAAGCCTTGATTAGTAATCATGTAAACAACAAATGGGGGCAGAACTATATAGTCCGAGGAAGACCAGCTTAAAGGAAATTCTAGGAGGAGATGGACAGAACTGAGACACAGACAAATAATGATGTCATAATGGAAGATAAAATGATTTATGTATAAAATGGCTGCTTTGAGCTTCCAACATTCCAGAGTGAGCACCTAGGTTCTATTATTAGGGTCAGCATTAGATAAAACTCAGGAATAATTATCCCCATGTTGTCTTACTTTATTCCAGCACTGGTGATTGGAAGGAACTCCAGACTATCTGGACCCCAGGGCTAAGATAAAATGGGATGCTCACCCTCCTGAACTCCAGATAAGGGTCAAGGTGTATAGGTAGCCTGAGGCTTGGATTGACCCTCTGCCCTTGCCATCACCTCAAGGGACTGGGCCATGCCAAGGGTACTGTTTTTGTTCCCAGATGCCATTGAGTTGATTTTGACTAACAGGAGAATTGCCCCTTGGGTTTCTAGGCTATAATCTTTGAAGAAGCAGAGCAACAGATCTTTTTTCCATGGAGCTACCGGGTAGGTACAAGCAGCCAGCCTTTCAGCAGCTGAATAACTAAGCACTGCATCACCAGGTCTCCTTGACAAGGGAATGAGGGTCCAAATCTGTGAACCACCATAACAATAAAGTTCCTATGTCTACCTTGCACTTTTCTTTTATCATTTTAAGAAGTACTGCACAATTAATATTTGTATTAAACCTAAAACACAGGAAGGAACCATATAAGAAATGTGTGAATTGAAGCTCAGAGGATTATACATCCTTTGTGGAAGGAAAAATCATAGGTGGCAAGGTGAGCAATAGAATCTGTATTTCTGAACTCTTGATTGAATTTTCCCATTTTTAGTCCACCATGAAGTGGCATCAAAATCTATAAATGTATGAGACTAAATGATCAACAATTTCTTTAAAACAAATGTAAGAATATAAAGGAGCAAGCAGAGAAACTATATTAATGGAAATGGGACTAGAACAGAAATAATGAAAATGTCCATACATTGTGAAGAAAGTAACCCACGTCATGGAACGAAAAACTCATGTAGAAAGTGCTAAGTGGAACCCTAAACTGCTGTGTAAACTTTCACCAAAAACACAATAAAAATTATTCAAAAAGTATCATCTCAAATTTCAAGAGAAGTGTATTTTTCAAAGTTCATATATTTCCTTCTAAATTTATTTTTCTTATTAAGGGAAACGGAAAATTTGGCATGGGGCAGCCTTGCCTCTCAACATCTGGCTCAAGTCTAATTCTTAATTCTAATGATTACAAATAAAATAAATCATTTTTAATTGAGATTTTAAAGTTTATGTGATGGGCTACATCTGATCATTTGTTCTGTTAATATCTATAAATGAACAGAGGTGAGAGGAGGCTCAACGACAGACTTCACAACCCTTTTATGGTTACCTGAGACTCTACCAGGGTGATCATGGTAGGAGCCAAAAAAGCTTATTCCCGTTGCCTTAAAACACCTGCTCTACATAAGAAGCAAAGCTATCAATAGAAATAGCAGTAACTGTGTTGTGACAATTCAACATATTTGGGACACATCTGTAGGGACATGTTTAGGTTGGGCATCATCTTTCCTTTGAAAAATCTTTTGACTATCCTCATTTTTAAGCAAATGGAATGAAAAAGTTAATTAGTACGACTGCACTAATGGAAGGTGTCAATGAAAGACAGAGTTTTCAGACTTTATAGGAATTATGTTCTTTCCACTCTGAGGGTCTCTCTATCTTTTTTTTTTTTTTTTTAATTTTTGGTTGTGATTTGGGTGCAAATTTATAGCAGATTCATTTTACTCTCAACAGTTCATGCACATTTGGTTACACATTCAAATGACCTAGAGTCATTTACATACTGTATTTCAGTTTAATTAATAAATAGCTAAAACAGAAGTTATTTCCTTGCCATAGGAGCTCAGCATAAGATAGAGTGAATAGTCTATTTGTTGCAGGCTTGTAATAATAGAAAGTAATGTCAAAAGTAATTAAAACAGGCAGCTCTTAGAACTCTTTGTTACCATCAATGTAGTACATTCAATGAGGAGCTCTGGTAGCATAGTGCCTAAGGCACTTAACTGCTAACCAGAAGGCTGGCGGTTCAAACCCACTAGCCATTCCTCAGAAGGAAGGTTGGGCAATCCTACTTCCGTAGTGATACTGCCTCGGAAACCCAAGGAGGGGTCGCTATGAGTTGGGGCCGACTCGACGGCAAACAACAACAACAACAACAAAGAATGTTGATGAGACTTGGATTGGGATTGCATTGAATGTATAGATTGCTTTGGGTAGAAC